GAGATAGCATAATACTCGCCTCCGTGTCATTAATAAAATCATGACTTTACGTCATGTTAATAGTAAAATCTGGGAATTATTACTGGCTATTGTTCTAACATCACTGCTAGCAAATCACTTCTTTGTTGCAAATGAACTTGTTACCTTACTCTCCTATGACTTGTTGGTTTTTGAATGTTGCAATGTTCAATATGATACATTTTATGTGTAAGTTGTGTACACTGCATGGTAGTCAAAGGGAAACTGTAACTCCCCTGGATTTTTAATATTATGTTTGCTTACCCCTGTATTTATCAAATATGTATTTGTGAGGTGTGAAAAATAATATTAAATATAGATAGATTCACATCTACTGCATGCAAATGTCTTGCAACTGGTTAACTCAATCTTGGTTCCATGTCAATCACTATTTTATGCACCTGGCAGTCAACATAGAGTGTACAGAGACGAATATAAATCAAACATTTATTCTTCTCCTTCTCTTGGTTTGCAAAGTCTGTCCCTGACTTTACATTGTCCGAACTAGAATTTGATATCATGTGCTTAAATATGTAATATAAATGTAAAAGAAAATCATGAAGAAAAAAAAAGATTAACACATGTTATAGATGATATTCAATGTTTTTTTTATGTATTGCTGTAAATTCCAGAAAAGTGACAATTTCCCTAAAACACTCTAAGGGCTTAAGGTTTTTTGAGATGCAACATGTTTGTGACCACTGACCAAGGCCTTTTTAAAGCACTTTTGCCATGTGTTAATTCTACCACTATTTTACCCTTTTTTATTAAGTGAACCCATGAATATAATTAGTGGCGGAACTAATGTAAAGAGTGCCCTAGATTGTTTTGGTGCAAGCTAAAGGTAGATTCCCATCCATAATACTACTCCAACAATGCTTTGCTAGCAGGATATACCATGTGCCTATCCTTGCAGAGCTTTATTTGTGAGCAGTGTTTGAATGTAAGCATATTTTGTATGTTAAATGTATCTATATTATGCGTGTAAAAATAAGTAGCAAGAGAGGTGAGAACAGACAACAGCTCAATTAGCCTGTCCTTCGGTGGGTCCCCGCTCAGATCTCAAGCTGGTTTTAGCTCAACTTGTGCTATTACAGAGAGAACATATCTGAAGCATATTAGACTGGTCCCACCCATACGGACACTCCAGATCCAAAATGCCAGCAAATTCCCTCTGCACGAGAGATACGGCAACCCCAGATGATCGTTTCAACCTTGTAAGGTATCATCAGTGAGGTATAGCCAGCGGGGACCCAACAAAGGGCAGGCTAATTGACCTGTTGTCCGTTCTCATCTATCTTGCTACTTGTTTGTCTCTACATTATGTGTGTAGTCTTTTCATCTGAATCCAACTGTGTGTTTCTATGTACTGTTGCAATTTGAAAGCAGTGGTGTACTTGTGATATAGATTCAATGTGATATTTGGTATATTCAAGGGAGCCCAAATTGTTATTTCAAGTGCACATGGAGAAGCGTGAATTAGATACCAGATACTTGTTGGTAATCAAAATAAGCCTCTGTCGTTTATTTTCCAGTATGTGTTTTTATACATTAAAAAGTAAGTGCCTACGTGCAAATACTCATAGGAGTAGTAGGAAGGGAGTGAAAGGGAGAAAGGAGTACAGATAGGGATGAACATCATGTACATATAACAGATAAGTTCAGAGAGAGAGAGAGAGCAGACTGATTTAGGAGAGACAGCTCAGGTGGGGGAGATCTGCTCCCAGAACTAGACATATATGATCTTAAGTGTTGTTTTAAGCATTAAGCATTTCCTGAGTCCAAGTTAGCCAATTTTAATATAGGATATCTAATATGACACCTATAAGCTTGAACCTTGGACTCAAAGTGAATTCTTTCACACTTGTGTGTAGTGTTTGTGTTTTTATTGTTGATGTTTGCTAGGATTCATGCACATATGCACATACGCTGCATGCACATACATAATAAAACACACAGATACATACTGACATATATACACACAGGTGCATGCATATACACACAAAGATGCGCACATGTAAGTACAATAACAAAAACACAAATATAAAACATACACACATTGGCACAAACACATACACACACAGATAACATTATAGATACAGATAAGATATAATGATATCTACTCACCATGACATCTACACAAAGATCCCAGTTAAGTTGTTTTAGCTCCCTCCCCCCTCCCCCCTCCCCCCCCTGCTTTCATACCTTTTTGGAGTATGAGGGTGGCTTATGAGGGTCCAGTGGCATCTGACTGAGTCTGATGCGAGTATGGTCCAGATTTTTCCGCCTCTCTGGTCCTGGCTCTCCCTCCATTCTAATGACCTGCCCTCCAATGCTCCCAAATGCCTCTCCCATGTGGCTGATTGGTTAGCTGAATGGAAGTGCCTTGTACTAACTTCCTTCACATAGAGCAGGGGGCCTGGTTCATCTGTTGAAGGGCTGATGATCAAAGATGGCCATCAGATGCCCATATGTGCATGGGCAACCTGATGAGCCCCCTAAATTTATGGGCTCTTCAGTGTAGGGAAAACGCCACTGTGTGAAAGTTCTGACCGGCCACACATGTGGTCCTATGCCCAAAATAGTTCCAGGGCATTTGGTGCTTTTGCCGGTCAACTTTCTGGGAGCTTCTGCATCCGCAATACAGAGTGCACCACCTGGTTGTTAGGTAGCATTTGTTCATCTTAGTCTGAGGCACCTTCCCTCAAAAAAGCGCTCTCCTGGCGGATTTCAGAGTGTTTCAAAACCACAAAACCAAGTTGTCTGGGAACCGCACGGTCACCTCATGCTGAAAACAGATCCATAACATTCACGGCTTAGTACCGCTGAGGTTACTGGGAACCCACAAAGTCCTCATGAATTTAGTTCCATAGCTGTCGCAATTAAGTACCGCTGGGACTATTCGTAGGTTTGGTTCCTGCGAACAGCCACCAGAGAGCCAGTGTTCGGTTCTATTCACATGAAGGGAAAGTGCAGAACCACTGGCACCCAGGGAAAGCTACTAATGGCGGCTGGGCAGGGTAACTCCCAAATGGTGTCCCATACCTGAACCATAGTTGGCGGGCAGGAGTCCAGCTTCTACACTCCTCCAGGAGTCTGTGGCAAACGTACGTGGGAAGGAGTGTTTGTCACAATTTATATGTATATATAACACAATATAAAACAAGAATAATATATTATACGAAATGGAAAAAAACTAATTTTGTTTTTCTCAGTTTTGCACTTAATAATTTCTATACACCAAGCACTTCCATGGGGAATTTAACTATTTGAACCCACAGCAAGTGTTAAAATAGATTGAATTATATTTTTTAAATCTGGACCCAGATTTGACCTCTGGGACAGAATTTGAAACATTCCTGATTACGAAAATCCAGCCATGGGTAACTACTGTGAACAATGTCCAGATTTTGCCCTGTTTAGCAGCTAATGGTTTTGCTCCATTTAGTATATGGCATTCGGACTTCAGTGAATAAATGTGACAGTGTATTACTTTTATAAGTTCTTATCTTCTAACCTGTTAATTGAACAAATCACACACAGGATGCAGTTGTAGACTTTAGCAGACAATTAGCAGAAAATTAGATAACAAATTCAACAGTAAACAGCATGCAAGGGAAGTTAGAAGATGTAATCTTTTCAGATAGTGTGTAGAGAAGTTGTGTGAGTTAATTGAAAACTTCTGTCAAAGAATTGTACAGTTAACCTGCAGGGGAACGATCTACAGACCAATACAATTTTATTAAACTACGGATTTTTTGGTACTTGAAGTGTCCTTTTTACTAAAAGAACTAGGTCTGAAAATAAAAATGACATGTCTTTATTAAAACATAGCATATTACGGAAGATGGATTTTGGGCACTGGGGATCCCTCTAGTTTTTGTCTAGATATGCTCTACATTTTATTCATAAATCAGCAAGAATTAGTCTTTCTTTAACAGAGTTGGTAGCTTTATGTTAAAATACCAAGGATCAGTCCAACAGGAATTATTTTTGAGCAGGGACCAATTCATGGGTATAGCCTCCGTAATTCTCCAACTGTTTAGTGAATAAATACATATATAACTATGAAATATATATTGAAACAAAAACATGCATTTGTTTTAGTGGTGCTGTAGATATAGATACTTTTATTCCATTAGCCCAGCTATTTTAATTGCCAATTTAATCCATAGTATTATAGAGACTGAGTGGGTCAAAGAGAAAGTGATAAAGAGAGATAGCTATAAATCTTATGTTACTTTGAATTCTGGGAAACTAAATAAAGAAATACTCCTGGGTCCCATACTATTTTTTTTTAAATTTTATCTTGCACTCCAAAGAATAAATAGTGATAATAGCATGGTAGTAAATTCCAGACATTATGCATGTATGCTGTTCACTTACATATTTACTATATCTAGGAAGTGCTGCAATAATCATTGTAATGCATATAAGATAAAATAAAAGCAAAAACTATATACTGAAGACTATGAAAATATTAGTCAATGTATTAGTCAATACATGTTAAACACAGACCTACACACCAGTCAGGCCATAGGACATTCTTTTCTCACATAAATCAAATTTGTAGTGATGTTACTACTGCAAGAGATTCTGGGTGGGCGTAAGCAACAGTGGATTGTCAATACATTTTTAAACACAGATCTGTAATGTAAATAAAAAGATGGGATTTCTAGCACTTGTTCAAAGTCTATGTGGCAGCTTATGGCTTTACTGCTGTGCAGATCTGTGTGTAATAATGAATTGACTACCCGCCTTCCACCCCCCCCGTGTCCCCTTCCTCTTCCTCTGTGAACTATCTTCCTTCCCTCCCCCCCTGCTTCTACCAACAGTTGACCATCTCTTTTCCCCTTCCCCGCTCCCTTTTTGCCTCCCCAACTACCCTCCCCTGCAGATAGGTCTCTAAGTGGGTCTTCCTTCCATGTGTGAGTGTGTGTGCATCTCCCATTTAAGAGTGTCTTAAATGGGAGCTGCCACCTCTATCCCCCTGTGACTCTCCCATTGGCTAGAGGTGGCAAAAGATATGTTACTGTGAGCTTAGTGGTGCGTTGCTCAATGTCTCGGTGTTCAAGTCCCAGTATGGCACATGGCACCCGCTTCCAGTAGGCGGGTGATCCCAGCTCTTGGTCGGACCGCAGCATGGTGGCACATGAATCATATGAGAGTCCCCAGGCTCTGGCTTGGCCCCAAGGCCCCTCCCCAAATAAATGTGAGCCCCCCACCTTAACAGTGTTTGCATGAGTTGCTAGTGTAGCCAGTGTCCCCAATAGCAGTGACAGTACTCACAGGTGTGTGTTAAGTCCCAAGAACGTCTACCCCTCACCGGACTACGCCTTGCGGTGTCGTGCATTGCTCCTCCAGTCTGTTTGGGTTGGGGTGCCAGGCACGTTGGAGTTTGGGCCTGTCGCGGCCGAAGTCCCTGCCTGGTGGTGGTGGCCTAGTGAATTGTTGGAGGAACTGGTGTGCCAACCAGTTCAGCACTTGTGCGAGCGTGAGACCTAGGGAGCGTCGAAATCCTGGGACATCAGCAGGGGCCCATATGTGTGTCCTGACCCTGGGGTGTCTACTTTTAAAAAATATACAGTTTGATGGGGGTAAATTACATTGGCCTGCTTCAAAAATTTCCCAAATAGGACATGGGTGCATGATGACCAACTGTGAAAATTCCAAGTTGGAAAACTGGAATGCACACCCTCCAAATAAGGTATTTTAGCCCCCAGAGAACCCAACATACCTGTACATGGGTGGTGATATGATGAAAATAATGGTATCTTTAGAAAGACCATTTAATGGTGATAAAAACATATATATAATAAGTGAGTATATAATAAGTGAGGGTACAGTAAATGAATAAGAGGAAAATTACAGCTAAACACGAACACCACAGAAATTTAAAAAGAGCCCTGGTCCTTAACGGTAAAAAAATTGAAAAATGGTCTGTTCACTAAGGGGTTAATAAACAATTACCAAACAAAAATGCCATTAGCAAACAAAAGCACTTAAACAAGTTAAAAGCACAGCGTGTTTCAATATAGTCATTATCATGTGCATAATAATAGTTAAAATGAAATTTCGTGCAATGTATAAGTCCATAAAATAGAAATTTAAAATTGTGCCTTTTCTCAGCATCCTCCTGGCATCCCTCATCCCTCATTTCTGCTACGTGCTTCCATTGCTGCTACGTACTGGCTGCCCTTCGATGCCTCCTGCGCATCTGCGTTCAAGACCTCGTTCTAATGCCATTTGCGTGAAATCACTTAATATGGGTATAATTCTGGACTCACACCAACTTCATGTCTCATATGGTGCATACCGATTCGTCACTACCGGTACGTGTCAGTCTCTATGCGTTCCATTGCATTCCCTAAAAGGCATGTGCATAGGTAAGTATGCGGACAGCGGGAAAACAAAAGCCCATAATTTATAAATAGCACCAAATACAAATTATCTCAATTGGTCAATTCAAACAACAATATAGACGGGGAAAAAATAAACATTCATTTAATATTTATAAAATACCACACATTCAAACCATAATACACATTTAAGAGTGTAAAGTAGAGATACCACTCATATAGTTATAAATAAAAAAATAACAACATAATAATAAAAACCACATAGAAAACAAAAAAAACACATTTATTTAAATAGGAGGAGGCAAATATATCTAAAAGAGGAAAAACAAGTGAAAAAAATGATAAATTTTTAAATTAGTTTTAAAAAAATCATATTAAAACACTTAGTTGAAGGTCAGCCTTACAAATGTCCAACCTGAGGAAGGAGCTAGTTTAAAAACAAAAAAAAATAAAGGAAAATAACTCAAGTATATACACTGAGTTCAATCTAGGTGCAGCCTGTTGAGATAATTAAGGGCAGTTAGGACAGAGTCAATCTTGGGGTGGTGTGGACCACCAAGGTGCTTTGTAGATGGGAGTGGTATGCAGTGCTAGGCTTTGACCCCACTAGGTAGATTCCACCTGCTCTCATTAGACCCCACCCCATCAGCACCAGGTGGAGGATGGGTTTGGCCTAATTGGAGGAACAGAGCCTTAGCACTGCACACCCCACCTATATGCAGAGCATCTAAGTGGTACACGCCTGTATCATCTCTGAATGAGGTTGATCTGATGATAAATGACCCTCCAAGGTCCTGGGTTGACCTGGGTCAGTGGGCACTTGCTTGTGATTATGAATTTTACTTTGTACGTCTCGGCATCTTAGAGTATCCTAGGCTACATGTATTTCTGACCCTGTAGTGAAAACCCACCATTTAGGTGGCTTGCCCTCCCTTATCCCCCTCAGAATAGGTTAAAACTCACCTTATTTTTCGCTCTCCAAATTTACTAATACTAAGTAAAGAAATGAGAATGAGAGGGGGGACCTGTTGTCTTCCCCCCTGGCCCCCATCCCTGAGAGGCGGGTGGGGGCCCTAAATAACAATGAGGGGGGACAACCTATTGTCCTCCCCCGGGCCCCAAACCCTGAGCGGCAGGTGGGGTCCCTAAATAATAATGAGGGGACCCTAAATAGGACGCAATTCAGGACTTTGTTTGGATCGGAATTTCATTTGAATGAATGAAACTCTGATCCTATTTGTGCCGTGGCCGCATCTTGCAGCTGCTTAGTAGATAACTCCCTAATTCCCACGGTATTAGGGAGCTATCTACCAAAAGGCTGAAAGACCTAAACTGGTCTTTCAGCCAAATTTACTAATACTAAGTAAAGATTGCTGCTCATTGTTAAAGAAAAACAAAAAAACCCCAGTATCCCTTCTACCGCCCCACCCGAGTGGCGGGTGGGGGCCCTAAAGAACAATGGGGGGACCTATTGTCCTCCACCCCTGACCCCCACCCCTGAGCAGTGGGTGGGAGCCCTAAATGAGAATGACCAGGAGGACCTATTGTCCTCCCCCAGCCCCCACCCTGGAGTGGCGGGTGGGGGCCCTGAAGAACAATGGGGGAACCTATTATCCTCCCCCCCCGGCCCCCACCCCTGAGCGGCGGGTGGGGGCCCTAAATGAGAATGAGGGGGGACCTATTGTCCTCCCCCCCACCCGGAGGAGTGGTAGGTGGGGGCCCTCAGTGTTATACAGTAGGTTCCCCCATCCTATTGTATAACACTGAGGGCCCCCACCTACCACTCCTCCGGGTGGGGGGGAGGACAATAGGTCCCCCCTCATTCTCATTTAGGGCCGCCACCCGCCGCTCAGGGGTGGGTGCCGGGGGGGAGGACAATAGGTTCCCCCATTGTTCTTTAGGGCCCCTAGGGTGGGGACGCTAGGTCCCCCCTTCAGTTTAAAAGCACCCACTCGCCCGTCACTGGTGGGGGCTTGGTAGAAGGGATACTGGGGTTTTGGGGGTGTTTAACAGTGAGCAGCAATCTTTACTTAGTATTAGTAAATTTGGCTGAAAGACCAGTTTAGGTCTTTCAGCCTATTGGTAGCTAGCTCCCTAATACCGTGGGAATTAGGGAGTTAACTACTAAGCAACTGCAAGATGCAGCCACGGCACAAATAGGGTCAGAGTTTCATTCATTCAAATGAAATTCCAATCCAAACAAAGTCCCGAATTGTGTCCTAACACGAATGGAGAAACTGTTCTCATTCTGTTAGGATGCAATTCGGTAGTTTTGCTGGAAAAGTGAAAGGAGGATTCATGGGAACACGGAGGATAGGTGTGAATTGTGAGAAAATTGCTCTGACCACCTTAAATGAAGCACACTTTGTTCCTCTGCTGGTCAGAGATGGTCAGGCGTAGGAAACCTCCATAAGACAAATAGTCCCTACTTTGTCTTGTGTTTTAAAGAAAACTAGAGAAGACAGGAAGAAATGAAGAAGAGATCCTAACAGAGGGAGAGAGGAGGAATCAATTAAAGAAAGGTAAGTTCGGCATGACAGTGCCGCTTTAATGTGAGTAGGTTACAACTTGCTAGGGTAAAACAGTTTGCTACAGATGTATCCTTTTTGAAAAATATTTTCACATTTAACACTATTTTAACAACTTTTTTTTCAAAGCTAATCTTATCATGCTGGTGATAAAAACATTTTATAAATGTAGTTTGAATATTGCCCACATAATATAATCCACAGAGAAAAACAATAATCTATAAAATGTTTAAACTGGTAAATATCACATAAAGACAAATCAGGATGTGTCTTCATATGTGGGCGATTAAATTGTGTTCATGCAGCTGCCGATAAGGAAGGGAAAAACAACATTAAAAGCAACTTACATTGAAGAAATATTCTTTCTTTTTTCTATTTGTATGTGGGTCTGTCCTATTAATAAGCACTTGTTTCCAAGAAAATTGATTTGTTCTATGGAGAACTATGCAAAATTATAATCAGTAGATGGTAAATGTCAATTATTCCCAACTATTTTTGATATTACATGAAGCAGAATAAATTTAGTATTTGTCCACACTGGTTTTCAAATAACAATTCAAATCAATGGGATTGTAAAACTTTGTCTAGTAAAATACAGAAATTCATAGACATGGATCAAATAACAGTTACACTTTTTAAATTTATTTTATTAAAAGTTGTTTACATTAAGTACATACATGAGATGCATAACAATAAATATAAATCAATCCTTTGAAACATTAGATTTGTTACTGGAGGAAGAGTAAGATTTGTCTGAATCACTTCATCCAAATTTGTTTTCATTTAGGCAACCCAAGTATAGATCACATGCTTTTAGCAGTGGACAGAGGTCATCATGGGCACTTTGACTGGTCTGCAACTGTGCAGCACAATATGCAACAAACTGTGATGCACTGCGGTTTGTAACACCTTTATATCATGGGCAGCATTATTTTTTTTCAGCAATTTGAGCTATAGTAGCTCTTCAGAGTGATCGAACCAGATAGGGTAGCCTTCACCCCCTATGTGCATCAATGAGCCTTGTGTACCCATGACTCAGACACTGGTTGACCGGTTGTCCTTCCTTGCACCACGTTTGGTAGGTAATAACCACTACATACCGGGAGCAGCCCACAAGACTTGCCATTTTGGAAATGATCTGACCCAGTCATCTAGCCTTCATTATTTGACCCATGTCAAAGTCACTCAGATCTTTTCGCTTATCCAATTTTCCTGATTCTAACACATGATTTTTAAGACTTGGCTGTTCAATTGCTG